ATATGTGTGTGTGTGTGTATGTATGTGTGTGCGTGTCTGTGTTTTGTTAAATATAACATAGAATGAATGACTATCATATCTGATCATGAGCTGTTCGAAACTACGTATATTTGCTTTAATATTGGGAGAAATTAAAGACAAAAAATGTCCAACATTTGGATATATTTTTATTATGCTGTTCCTTGATCTAAGCTTGATCTAAGCTTTCGACTCACAGTAGCCATCTTCAGAGTAGTTAAGTGGACATTTCAACAAAGATATTCACCATCAAAGTTGATATTCAGTTATCTTGACATAGAAGTGTGCTATGCGACGTTAATGGTCAAGGAATAGCAGACGCGGGTCGTAAATTCGTGATGTAGTTCTATGACGTCGTACCACGAGAGACCGAAATATTAACAACAGAACCATACGTTTAGATGCAATGTAATGTGCTGTGAGTACTTTTAAATGTAATTTTGTTGATATATATATATATATATATATATATATATATATATATATATATATATTTCTTACTTATTATAAAACGTTTATATATTGGATCGGATTTCCTACATTTTTCAACCGATTTCAACAAAACTTCACAGGACTGCGTAAAATTACCTTGCGGTGGTTCTGACAGCGCCAAAAATTGTTTTGGCACTAAATCAATTTGAAAACACGATTAAGAGGCATTAATGAATGGGGGACAACTTATATCGAATTATACTTATTATAAAACCAAGGTTGTGTGTGTGTACGTTTATATATGGGATCGGATTTCCTACATTTTTCAACCGATTTCAACAAAACTTCACTTTTTTTTGGCAGGTAGTGTTTCTTATTGTCTTGCACACTTTTTTCTTTATTTTTACATTCAGAATGCTTTAAAAATTCCATTTACAAGACAATTGTTTATAATAAAATTCTATTCAATTACTGATACATCCCCGGACAACGCCGGGCTCTACTGCTAGTATATATATATATATAGAGAGTGGTGCGATAGTTTTTGTCACCACTACATAATATCATTTTTGATTTGGTATGGGTGACACGAGCTCCGACAGTTTGGAAGAGAGGATCATGATGACTAGACTCTCGGTACCACGCCATATATATATATATATATATATATATATATATATATATATGTAATTTCTTTTTAAGAACATATGGACATTTAAAAACTTAGTTATCTCCTCTGAGGTTTAAATTGTCAAATTCGTCTTTCTCTTCACATTTTGAAAAAGTTTAACTTTCAGATGAATTTTGCCTTAGAAATAAGAAACAACTCCCTGATGATGACATTGTCTAATGTCGAAAGTACTCGGAATAAATGAATATGTATCAACATGGAAATTTTCTCTCTTCCTTTAATAAGGATACGAAGAAGATTCCTTGTGAATATGAGAGGATCCTATTGGAAATAAGCAGACAAAATCTGTCTGAATTATTCAAAGAGAAATGTCTTAATAAAAACTGCTGACATACGCAATATATATGTATGTGTGTGTGTGTATTATTATCATAAACATTTTTATCGTGGTTATTTGTATTTGAAATAGACGCCCTATTTTAAATTTTAAACAGCATTCGTCCCCCCCTTCTTCTAGGCTACAGAGAGTGTTACAATAGGGAAAGGCTCTCTCTATGTATGTACCTATGTATGGGCACATGCCCGAGTGGGTAGAACGTCCGCATTTTGACACTGAGACCCGGGTTCGATATCGGACCATAGTTCCTGTCTGTAAGAACTCTGGAGACCATTCTGACTCTTCTAATTACCGTTCTATCAGTCTCCTTCCATTCTTCGGCAAAGTCTTCGATGCTTTAATCAACGCCGAAGTCATTAAGCACCTTACATCCCATAATCTGCACTCCGACAGGCAATATGTTTTCCGCTTTGCCCATTCTACAACTGATGTGCTTACGGCCATAACTGAAATTGTTTACCAAGCACTTCATAATAACGGAGAAGCTCGTGCCGTGGCTCTTGATATCTCCAAAGCGTTTGACAGTGTTTGGCACGCCGGCCTTCTTCGCAAGCTCCAGGGTTATAGAATTTCAGGTAGATTGTTTGACTTAATACAATCATTCCTGTCAAACTGTGTATGGAATATCGTTCTCAACAGATTCTTCTCCTGCTCCCATCCCCCGAACGTAGGTGTTTCCCACGGCTCTATCCTAGGCCCTATTCTGTTACTTATCTTCATTAACGATCTTCCTGATGTAGGCATCTACGCGGACGACACTACTATTCATTCCTGTCTCAAAAACAAATCTAGTGTCGCTGACAATATTAACCTGACCGTTTGTCTCGGAAAGGATCTCCAATCAGTTGTGGACTGGGGCAGGAACTGGCTGGTTAACTTTAATGACTCAAAAACAAAACTGTTCTCTATTACTCACCACAGAAAACCATCCCTGCCTCTCATTAGAATGTCTGACGCTCAACTCCACGAGAGCACTTCTTTGCGACTGCTCGGTCTCACATTGTCTGCTGACCTGAGATGGAACAAATACAAAAGAAATAGAATACAAAGTCAATAGCTTCGTCCACTTCAAGGCAAGTTGTCTCCCCGTGCCACGCCTGGAATTTTTTCTCGCTTGAATCGACCCTTCAAATCTACTAATCAACCATTCGCCCTTGCATGGGGTATTGCTGCCATATATGATCTGGTGTCCCTTCCGTTTGTCTCAAGCTCCTTGATAAAATCCAGAGACGGATATGCACTGTAATTGGCCCTGATCTGGCATCTTGTCTCCAGTCGCTCTCTCACAGACATGCCGTTGCCTCCCTCTGTTATATTTTAGAAATACTTTCACAGTAACTGCTCCGAAGAGCTGCCTTCGCTGGTTCCCAGACTTCATGAATTTAAGCGTTCTTCTAGGCTGGCATCCCGCTCTCATCCTTTTACTGTCGAAACTGTTAAATGTAGCCGTCTTTTATACTCCAATAGATTCATGTCTCGCACTTCTCGCCTGTGGAACTTCCTCTCTTCTTCCTGTTTCCCTGATAGCTATAATCCCTAACTACTCAAATGTAATGTCAATCGACGTCTCCAGATGCCTTGATTTATCCCCTATCCTTCTCTTCATCCTTTCCTCTATCACTCCTCTTTAGTCTCGCTCTAACTCTCTGTAACCCCTTGTGTGCTAGTGGCTTTCCGCCTTGCTTGGGGTGAAACGCTTAAAAATGTATGTATATATGCCCCTGGGTTCGTATCTATTCCTGAAATGTCATTAATCCCTGTCGATATACTTGTGCAAGTATTAATTATATTCTTCACCTTTGTCAACATATTTTTCTTAATATTCTTTCACATAATGCACAGCTGTTACCAAAACGGACATCCAGATATGCAAACTCCGAATTGGGGATACCAAGATCAAGTAAGTACAAAAATCTGGGTAGAATTTTAGCAGAAAACGGAGAGTTAGAAAACTGACACCCCAACGAGCATTGAGATGGCGAAAGAAGCCTTCCGAAAGCTAAGCAAAGAATTAAGAAACGGGAAAATTTCGTTAGAAACAAAAACGAGTACTGAACGGTTACGTAATATCAGTCCTCCTATATGGCAGTGAATGCTGGCCAATCTCCTTACAGATGAAGAAGATACAAGCAGCAACAGAAACAAAGAAAAGAGTACTGCACTGATACGTAATATCAGACCTCCTACATGGCAGTGAATGAAGGAGAATCTCCTCAGAGATGAAGAAGAGATTTGAAGGAAGAGAAACAAAGAAAAGAGTACTCAACTGTTACGAAATATCAGTTCTCCTATATGGCAGTAAATGGTGGACAATCACCTCACGGATGAAGAAGAGACTTGAAACATCAGAAACAAAGAAAAGTGTACTGTAATGATAGGTAATATCAGTCCTCCTATATAGCAGTGAATGCAAGACATCTCGCAGATGAAGAAGAGACTTGAAGCAACAGAAACAAAGAAAAGTGTACTAAAGAGTTACGTAATATAAGTCCTCAAAAAATCTTTAAAAATTGCCGTTTCATAGGTCGATCTCAGTTGAGAAATGACTACTCACCACAAAAATACGACAATTTGACACTAACATTCGGCGATTGCTACCCCATAAGAATGTCAAATACAATCATATGTGCCTAAGAATATTTGCAAATTTCAAATAAAATAAAAATACTCATAAAACTAAATTAGAATAATATTTTGTTTAAACACATTTTTTTCTAAAAAAAAATAATAGCAAAATCAGGGGTGCGTATTATGCACAGCTAAAAATTTAAAAGAAAAAATGACCTTAAAATAAAATAGGAAATATAAAACTAAATTGGAATAATATTATTCTGTTTAAAATCATTTTTTTCAAATAATAGTAGGAAACGCCGACCGTGATGATATTGGAGAGGTACAATTTATAGGGTTTGATTACCAAACAAGGGGTGCGTATTATGCGTGAGTAAAAGCATTTCCCACACTTTCAACACAATTTTAGAGGTGCGTGTTATGGATGAAAGCGTATCATGCATGGGGAATTCCGGTAAATAAATTATAAGAATTATGAAATCGGGTATTAATTTTCAATCACGTTAATTTCTTCCAAAGCGCATTTGTGTTTGTTCAACACCCAAAGAGCCTCTCTGCGGTTTATACTGCAACTATACTGAGCAGACCTTAGTTACAGTTTCTGGGAAAGAGCGTGTTATCTAGCGTGATCAACAATTTGAACAAGGCCAGCACGCTCAAACCCTCGGCCACGATGACTTGTGACGTCGTGCTGGCACAACTATCGACGCCACCCGCTAAAGGGTTCACAACGCTTCGGTCAACCCGTGGTGTGATTTTCAGGCACTGTATAAAGGTGCCGCACGCTGGGATCGTTTCGTCCAGACCGATAATATCAAGAAGTCTCCTTTGTCCGTGGTGAGAATCGATCTCGGATCGTTGGTTTTAAATTTCTAGCTCGTAGACGCATGTAAACTCACATTTAAAGCACATAGACACACAGAGCGGCTAATATTCAACGCGTCATGTAGAATGACAGGATTGAAGGCAATACATCCTCTCGCCATCCCACTGACACCCTTTCTCTCATATTTATCACGTGTCCCGAAAAAGTCCTTGCTATTTTATGTCAGGAATTTTTTTTTTAAAGCCAATCCTTGCGGTAAAGTTTTACGATTTATTTTTGTTTTGTTTTGTTTTGTTTTTTCAAGATACACACATTTTTCATTATATTTTGCTATATTTTCCTATTTTTCTTTCTTTTTCTTTCTGGTTCTTCCTTCAATTCGATGTCAGTATAGGGATTTGAGAAAACAAAAAGGAAAACGAGTTTCAAAATATTCCAGCCACCACCCCTGCAACTCCTCTCATCCCACAAAAAAAAAAAGGAAAAGAAAAAAATATCAATAACATAAAAATGACAATAGTTTGCATCCTCCTCCAGCTTCCGGTAGAATCTGGTGGGCTCAGTATTTTTTTGTTTGTTTTTTTTTTCTTTCCCGGCATCCAACCTGAGATTCGGCATTTTTCTTTTTTTCGTTAATTTAATTGTTTTTTAATTTATTATTATTATTTTTTTATTAAATATCGTGAAAAATGATAAATTGTTGAGTTTGGATTTTTGTCTTACATTAAAATACAAGATGTCTGATTTCTTTCCCAGACCAACGAATTTTTTTTTTTTTTTCCTTCCCGGCATCCAACATGAGATTCGGCATTTTTTCTTTTTTTAGTTAATTTAATTGTTTTTTTTTTTTAATTTATTATTATTTTTTTTTATTTATTAAATATCGTGAAAAATGATAAATTGTTGAGTTTGGATTTTTGTTTACATTAAAATACAAGATGTCTGATTTCTTTCCCAGACCAACGAATTTTTTTTTTTTTTTTCCTTCCTGGCATCCAACATGAGATTCGGCATTTTTTCTTTTTTAGTTAATTTAATTGTTTTTTTTTTTAATTTATTATTATTTTTTTTTATTTATTAAATATCGTGAAAATGATAAATTGTTGAGTTTGGATTTTTGTCTTACATTAAAATACAAGATGTCTGATTTCTTTCCCCAGACCAACGAATTTTTTTTTTTTTTTTCCTTCCCGGCATCCAACATGAGATTCGGCATTTTTTCTTTTTTAGTTAATTTAATTGTTTTTTTTTTTTTTAATTTATTATTATTTTTTTTATTTATTAAATATCGTGAAAATGATAAATTGTTGAGTTTGGATTTTTGTCTTACATTAAAATACAAGATGTCTGATTTCTTTCCCAGACCAACGAATTTTTTTTTTTTTTTTCCTTCCCGGCATCCAACATGAGATTCGGCATTTTTTCTTTTTTTAGTTAATTTAATTGTTTTTTTTTTTTAATTTATTATTATTTTTTTTATTTATTAAATATCGTGAAAAATGATAAATTGTTGAGTTTGGATTTTGTCTTACATTAAAATACAAGATGTCTGATTTCTTTCCAGACCAACGAATTTTTTTTTTTTTTTCCTTCCCGGCATCCAACATGAGATTCGGCATTTTTTTTCTTTTTTTAGTTAATTTAATTGTTTTTTTTTTTAATTTATTATTATTTTTTTTTATTTATTAAATATCGTGAAAAATGATAAATTGTTGAGTTTGGATTTTGTCTTACATTAAAATACAAGATGTCTGATTTCTTTCCCAGACCAACGAATTTTTTTTTTTTTCCCGGCATCCAACATGAGATTCGGCATTTTTTTTTTTTTTTAGTTAATTTAATTGTTTTTTTTTTTAATTTATTATTTTTTTTTATTTATTAAATATCGTGAAAATGATAAATTGTTGAGTTTGGATTTTTGTCTTACATTAAAATACAAGATGTCTGATTTCTTTCCCAGACCAACGAATTTTTTTTTTTTTTCCCCCTGGCATCCAACATGAGATTCGGCATTTTTTCTTTTTTTAGTTAATTTAATTGTTTTTTTTTTTAATTTATTATTATTTTTTTTATTTATTAAATATCGTGAAAAATGATAAATTGTTGAGTTTGGATTTTTGTCTTACATTAAAATACAAGATGTCTGATTTCTTTCCCAGACCAACGAATTTTTTTTTTTTTTCCTTCCCGGCATCCAACATGAGATTCGGCATTTTTTCTTTTTTTAGTTAATTTAATTGTTTTTTTTTTTTAATTTATTATTATTTTTTTTTATTTATTAAATATCGTGAAAAATGATAAATTGTTGAGTTTGGATTTTTGTCTTACATTAAAATACAAGATGTCTGATTTCTTTCCCAGACCAACGAATTTTTTTTTTTTTTTTCCCGGCATCCAAATATGAGATTCGGCATTTTTTCTTTTTTTTAGTTAATTTAATTGTTTTTTTTTAATTTATTATTATTTTTTTTTTATTAAATATCGTGAAAAATGATAAATTGTTGACTTTGGATTTTTGTCTTACATTAAAATTCAAGTTGTCTGATTTCTTTCCCAGACCATCGAATTTTTTTTTTTTTCCTTCTTGGCATCCAACCTGAGATTCGATATTTTTCATTATTTTAATTTTTTTTTCGTTAATTTAATTGTTTTTTAATTTATTATTTTTTTTTATTAAATATCGTGAAAAATAATAAATTGTTGAATTTGGATTTTTGTCTTACATTAAAATACAAGATTTTCTTTCCCAGACCAACGAATTTTTTTTTTTTTTTCCTTTCCGGCATCCAACATGAGATTCGGCATTTTTTCTTTTTTTCGTTAATTTAATTGTTTTTTTTTAATTTATTATTATTTCTTTTTTATTAAATATCGTGAAAAATGATATATTGTTGAGTTTGGATTTTTGTCTTACATTAAAATACAAGATGTCTGATTTTCTTTCCCAGACTTAACTGCTCATTTGTCCTTCGAGAAAAAAAAATATTCTCTTAATTTTTTTTTTAAAATTTTAGAAACGTGTCTTATGTTCATAGATTTTCTCATATTAGAAGCAAATAGATTTATGAAACTGAAAAGACGCGCGTTCTGGGTAAGACGATAAACTACATCCGGGTCCTGGGTAAGACGATAAACTACATCCGACAGCAAGGCCCCTGATCAGGAGGTTTTGAGGAGCATGGAACCACTATTTAATTGCTCTTAACAAGAATATGTACGAAGATAATGTGTGGGTTCAATTTAATATTGCAACCAAGTTATAAGCTGTCCCTCATTTGTTGGCCAGAGTAGATTCTACATACAGAGTGTGATGGATAAATTGTCATCAAAACTTTGTAGTCAGCGTGAGTTTAACTAGAATATGTACGGAGATAATGTGAGGGTCCAATTTAATATTGTAACCAAGTTATAAGCTGATCCCTCATTTGTTGGCCAGAGTAGATTCCATCTACAAGGTCTGATGGATAAATTGTCGTCTAAATTAGGCAAAAATCAAAATAACTCTGACATCTCATTTTAACAGATATATTTACCAACATTACACAAAAATAGCTTGAGATACTACAGAGTAAATTTATTCAATAAAGTCGCCATTGACTTCAACCATAGCCTCCAAATGACTTCGGAATCTCCTGCAACTCTCCTAAAGTGTCACCTTTAAGTTGGCGAATTCTGCCATAATCGTTGCCTTCAGTTCATCCTTGGTGTTATAAGGAAATTTGTTGGTCCCTCGCTCAACTGTATCCCATACATGCATCAAGCAGGTTGCAGTCTGGGGTTTTAGGTGTCATGATGCAGAGTTCCGCTGCAAGACATACGGTCTTCCAGCAGGTCCCCACTTGATCCATAGGTTTCGTAATTCTAGTAGCTGCTACCGCTCTTTCTCGTATCGATAGAAGTTTCCTTCTTAACTATTTGTTGGTGCCTCGCTCAACTGCACCTTATGCATAACTATCAGCGTTGACCGGGCTTGATTCAAAAATCGTACGACTCATACAGCAATCGCTATCACTTGACTTAAAATATTTTGCCCTTCCTTGCCTTTAAAGGAGTGCCCTTTGCCGTGCTGATGTTGCTACATGCCTTACATCTTGCCTATCTCACACTGCGAATTTTTTCTAAGTTCTATACTAAACATTAAATCTGTTACGAAAAAAGAACTAAACAAAATGAACACAAAACAATCAGCTTTAAAAAAGGACTCGTAACTGGAAAAACCGAATGAAAAATGAATGTTAACAACAGATACTTTTTCACACCCAACCCAGTTTTGCGGAATCAGAATCAACGTTGAGTTTATGCAAGCGAATGAGCCAATTGGAGTAAAGTGCCATGCAGATTTAAATTTTTCCCACTTGTGATGAATGCAGCTATCGATTTTTTTGGCATGCTAGCATGCTAGTTAACATTCGAGTCAGTCAGCGGTTGGCTCTCACGCTGGCCAATAGAATCTTCCTGCCTATTCGTGGCAGCCAGCTATAGGGTCTCACTCTGGGCAGTAGAAAATGGCCGCAAACTACATGAAAACTGCAGTAGAAGCATGAAAAAATCGATTATTTCCACTATCGATGTTAGTTGGGAAATGCAAAGTCGGTCTTGGCCTTCCTGCTAACTTGGAGCATGTGCATGTAAATTTTGGTGAAAATCCGTCGAAAATTGCGGCCGTGCATTCGTTACGCACACACACACATACACACACACACACATCCTGCCTTTTATAGATAGAGATAATCAAGGGCATTGCAGTATGGGGAGTTAGATAACCAGATATAAGGGATGATGTCGTCGTGTAAATTTTCTGAATCCTACTTGTTTGTCATGGTGCAGAGTCCTGTTGTCAGACATAGGGTCTTCCATCAACCAGCCACCCTCTTGACCCAACGCAGTAGTACATCCTCAAAGCACTTGATATAGGTCTCTGAGTCTGAGGTCATGTGTGAAGAATAGAGGCATGGCGTGTGATCCCGCTAAGCACCTTCGTAATCACCATTAGACTCCTCCAACTCTTTCTGAATATTCTGCACTGTCCTCAGATTGACACCCAAATCCTCTGAAATGTTCGTATAGGAGCTTCCGGCGCGAATACCAAGCAGTACAGCATGCCGTTTCTAAATTTCTGGCGGAGTGAATTGCGTCATGCGGCATCTTTTTCTCACAGACGGTGACCCTTCTATACTGTGCAGTCGAAAAAAAAATCAAACAATGAGCATGCGCGAAACTGAAAATACAAAATGCCGACCCTGTGAGTTCTTTTTTTTTTTTATTTTTTTTTTTTTTTGCTATTATTTTCTTTAATGACTTTCTCGTTGCTTAATCACGCCGTCCATGGAATTCTTGCTATCCTTCTGTAGGACCACATTTCGTTGTCCTCCAGTTTTCTTATCGTCCGTGGGGAGATTGCCAAACATTTACAACTATATAGGTGAATGGTATCCAACACTATTTATCTTTGTTTTTAACGATTAATCTATTTCTTTTGTGTGTTCGCTCCTGTCAAAGAATTTCCCGATGAAAATGTTCATTCTGTTGGTGTGAGCTGACTCTTGGAGTTGGCGGAGCTCATTATCAGGAAGAGGCGCGAAACATCTCCGTGAAATTCGATACAATGATTATTAGGCTTTATTTTATGCTTTCCTTTTGATGAGCGCGCGTTCTCCATGCAGTTGATCTTTTATCAAGAAATTATGGGGAAAGAAAATGCAATCGACATTTATTTTTATTTTTTGGTTGGGGGAGATTCGCATGTTTCTCCTTTTTTACTTTATTTCTTTATAAATTCCAAAACATTTCTCTCACCCATACGAGCGCAAACATAGGCGCAAATCAAAACACACACGCATATATGTGTAACGATTTAGGGGGAAAACTCACCTAAGCATATACGAACATATACACTATCTATCTATCTATCTATCTATCTATCTATCTATCTATCTATCTATCTCAGCTTGGTCGTTATCTATCTATCTATCTATCTATCTCAGCCTGGTCGTTATCTACGTACGTATCTATGTATGTATGTATCTATCTATCTATCAGCCAGGTCATTATCTGTCAATATATATATATATATATATATATGCACGGGTACATTAGAATATGTGTGTAATTACTACAAAATTGTACATTTTGTTTCGACGTTTAAATAAAACGTCTCTTCAGGTAATTAACAATGATGGTAATAAACGATGTTATTTAAAATTGTTTTTAGAAAATTTTCCATACAAGGAAAAAAAAAAGAATTTTCTAAATAAAGAAAAAAAAGAATTAAACAAAAGGATATGGAAGAGTAAAGTAAATGCAATTTTATTCTTCATTCTTTTACATTTGGCCACACACACACACACACACACACACACACACACACATATATATATACATATATATATATATATTTATATTTATATATGTGTGTGTGTGTGTGTGTATTGTGTATTTAGGTTGCAGTCCTTCATTTGTACATGTTTCATTAAAACGACAGACAATAAGCTTTTTTTTTAAATTTTTCTTGTGTTCGAACAAGTGTTTGCTTTTTTGAACACAGAGTGTGTAGAAACTGTCCAAATGTTCTATAATTCCGAGCGCTTTCGGCTATACATTTAGCCATTATCAAGAAGGATTTTATTTTTAATTCGGTGTACGGTTTGTGTGTATGTTTTAATAGTTATAGGGATAACAACACACCATCAAAAACAAAATTACGACCACCGAACATTATCTATGAATTCAAATGCTCCTTAAGCGACTATGTTCCTAATCAAACCGAATTTTTACATAGGTTACACTACTACATGCCTATCCAGACGCCTTACGTTGCACCTATCTGACCACAGTTCTATTAGAATCCATTTAAATACACACACAATCTTACCAGACTCCATCCGAAACATGCTAGTAGAAAAGACAGACATAAATACCTCATCCATATTTAAAAAAAAACAAAAAAAACATTAAAAATAATGGAAACCATAATAATAAAAAAGGAAAAAAAAAACAACACTTAAAAATATTAACTAAGAACACGGCCACAATGTGCTGTGTTCGGAAAAAAAAATCTCCATAACTCTCAAAGCATACACACAACGCATACGCCCAATTAAAAAGCAAAAATAAAATCATCCTTGATAATGGCTGAAAGTGTAGTACTATGGAAGTTTATATTCTACTTAAAGATAATAAACCTGATTTTTCTGAATATATATATATATATATATATATATATATATATATATATATAGAAAATCGGGTTTATATATATATATATATATATATATATATATATATATATATATATATATACATTCACTTACGTGCTAATACCCTTGGGAAAGGTGTGAATCCTATTCTTCTCCCTCCAGCTATGGGGTAAATAGCAGGACAGACTGGGTTCTATAGCCTTAGATGGCAACTGGTCTAGGAGAAGGACAACTCTGAATTCAAAACCTGAGAGGGGTTGTTTGGGGACCTTGTGGCACGTAGTGCACCAAGTCTCTGTATTCGGCCCTTCAAAAAGTGTGGATGGTCCTGCACGAAACCTTCACCACTAGAATCGAAATATGCATTCAGATCAGTTTCGTATCCTAAAGTAAATAAAGCAATTCTAAATAATTGATGCATTTTTATTTATCGACCCCGACAGATAAGGTGCTCTCTCCCAGAAACTGAAACTAAGGCTCGCTCAGTATAGTTGCAGTATGAACCATCTATCTATCTATCTATCTATCTATCTATATATATATATATATATATATATATGCACAAACAATGACTTGTACCCACAGGAAAAGAAAATAGATAAATAGATTTAAATAGATTGGACGTCATTATATTACCTTGAGGGCATCCTTGAGGGCAACACTTCCTTAACAGGAAACAATCAAACAGACATTAGTAAATAACGAATGACGAAGAAATATTGGAAGACGATTAAAATAGATTTTAATTATAAATATAATAGAATAAACATTTTAGTCTGCAATTTATTTCTAATTAAAATATATTTTAATCGTGTTCCAATTTTTCTCTGTTGATTTGTTGCTTACTAATGTGTCTTTGTTGCTGCTTGCCAGCACTCAACTTTTGCGAAAGCCTTGGCCGAAAGCGTCTCCTCATGGTAAAACAATCACGTTCATTCTATATATATATATATATATATATATATATATATTTAGAGGATAATATTAAAGTCCTCTTTGGAATAATGCCTACCAATTACAAATTTCTGTTATATATATATATATATATATATATATATATATATATATATGATATAAAAAGTTTCAAACACTAATAGTCCATGGTTATAATTTATTATATTGGAATCATAATCACGATTCAATTCATCATAAAATATAACTCCAGGTATAAAAAAACAAATTTTTAGAAAATTTTTCTTTTTTCCATTATATATATATATATATATATATAAAGAAAGGGATGATTTTTCTTAATTTTTTATTTATTAAGTTATGTGCCATGCGTGATACACGCTTACGCGATCATCTATTTTTCGATACATGACTGTCGAGGCAGAGTTTTTCCCTCAGTAGGATGCTATTTCTTTCTGCGGTAGACCAGTTGCCATCCAAAGCTATAGAACCCGATCTGTCCTGCTGTTTACTCATAGGGGGGATGGAGAAAAGTATTCAAACCTTTCCCAAGAGTATTAGCACGTAAGTGAATGCAGTGGATCTGACTGGAATTTGAACTCGGCTTTCTCAATCAGAACCGCCATCGTGCCTCTTCGATTTTTATTACACAAACGTTATTTGGAGAGTCACTTTGTTTATTTATTTATTTATCTACTCAGAGACGACATTATTATTATTATTATTATCATCATCATCATCATCATCATTATTATTATGATTATTTAGCTTTCCAACAAAAGACAAAAGAATTATAATTTGTTGCTCTTGTTATTGCTGTTGTTATTGTTGCTGCAGGTGCTGTTTTTATTGTTGTATAGGCTGTGGCCCTACCATGTTCCGCCATCGAGGTACCGAAACTCGTTTGGTTGGCCACCCTCTGTTTTCTTAGGTCCTTCTTGTTTTCAATGTGTCCTGTGAGTGTTTAATTCTCGGAGCTCATTTTTCTCAGGCATGCTAAAATATTTCACTTGTCTCTTTCTGACCCGAAGTATAAGTATCATTTCTGTTTCCACATTCGTTCACAATTCCTAGTTGATCACCTGTTCTGTCCATGCTATTCTCAGCAGCCTTCTGTAGAACCATATCTCGTCTACTTCAGATCTCTTCTCCCATGTCAATAGATTGTCCAGCATTCTTCTTTCTTTTTATGCGCCATGTCCTTTCAGGACGTAGGCGATCATGTTTCTCCACTTCCCCCTATCCCTTGTAGCTCTTAATAAGTTTCGTATCTCTGCCACCTCCCTCAGACCATTTGCTTAAGCCAGCCAGGTATGTTATGTCTCTCATTCACTCTATTCGACCCGTGAGTATCAGATTCTCCAAACCCTTCTTTTCTCATTACGTGTGCCAGAAATTTCATCTGTCTCTTCCTGATGTTAAGTATAAGCCTCCTCCTTGTTTGCAATCTCACTAAGATCTCATCGTTGCTCACGCGCTCGGTCCATCATAACCTTATCATCTTCTTGTAGATCCGCATCTCCGTCGCCTCGAGTCTCTGTTTTGGAAAGCATAATTTACTATTTCAATGCGTGTTCGGATTGCGGTGTCACATTTTTCGTTCTTTGTTAAAACATTTCGCTGATATTTATATTTTTCTCTTGACTGATCATCTAGTTATCATTAGTAGTCATCAGATTCAAATAAGGAGAGATCATTTGATAATTTGCTTGATTGATTTATCTATTTTTTACGGTTTATCAACACTTTGCATGTTATTTAACCGCCAAAAATATTTTTGGATTTAATTTTTTTTTGGAGCTAATGATACAACTCTTACTAATTAGCCCATAGTTGGGGGAGATGACTGTGTTCATAACTAATCAGAATTTGATAAACAAACAAAAAATTATAATATGGGTAAAAAGTGGGGGATAACTTGTTTATTTCAATCAATATATAAAGAGATCCATCACTTTGTGGTCATTGTAATTTCTATACATATAGATTCCAGAGAATGTAAAGATTGGGTTGGTGCATAATTATCAGGCGTTTTTGTAGGCGAATTATTTGTTAATAAAAATTATTGTTCTATTTTCAGGTTACAAAAGTGCGCATCAATAATCATACGCTGCAGAATAATTATTTAAAAATGGTATTGTTGAATTATTCGTAACGTTTTTATAATAAATATAGGTTAAAAACGACTGATAATTATGCACCAACACAATAGGGGGTAAATATATATATTTAAGTAATTCATCGAGTCAGACAAAACCGCAGCAGAATGCAGAATGCACTGGACGGCCGATTAGACCTATATTTAAGACTCATCAGCAGCACGCATCCACTACCGAGAATTGAAACCCTGTCAGTTAGGTTGTCAAGCAAATATCATACCAACTGTTCCAAACGGGACCCGGTGGCGAAGAGATTGCACATCAGACTCAACAATGCGCACTGCCGATGAGTCCCAAATATAGGACGAAACGGCCGTCCAGTGCTTTCTGCATTCTGTTAAGATTTCTATCAGACTCGATGAATTACTTAAATATAATTATCAAATCCTCCTAATAATTTCTATCACACACACACACACACACACACACACACACACACACACACACACACACATATATATATATATATATATATATATATATATATATATAGATAGATAGATAGAGAGAGAGAGAGAGAGAGATAGTTATGTAAATAACAAGAATAGATAGATATGAAATGAAGGAAAATATATATATATATATATATATATATATATATATATTAATCACTTTAAACGTTATTTTTCGTAGATACTGGTATTTAATTAAAAGGAAAACGTGTGTGAATTGAAAGAAGAAAAGAAAGAAAGGAGAAAATAATGAGAAAAAAGTTTATTTATTAAACAGTTCATTTATTTTCGTCTAGTAGCCTGAATGTACGAAAAATCTTATTA